ATAAAATTACGTTTTACAATTTTAATAAACTTATATTATTTTTTTAAATATAATTAAATATATTAGAATTAATGTTGATACATGTATAATAAGTTACGATTTGGGTTTGATAGATCAACTCATATGGCCAACCAAATTGAGGCCTATACCATCAACCTTAAACTCTCCATCTCTAATATCTCTCTACTTCTCTCTCTACATCTACATATCTAACAAAGGCATTGGAAGGTCTTTGGCCGGTACCACAACGATGCTCCACAGACTCATCTTATCTTTTCTTGCAGGTCATCGGATCGAGTCGGAATCATGCAAATTTAACTATCATCAAACGTAAATGGTGTGAAAATATAAAAGTAATTAAGCAAAATTATACATTCTAGTGTAAAGCAGATAACAACTATTTTTATCTATTTGATTAATGACTTGTTGATGAAAATTAAAATTTTAAAAGAGATCAATATAATTATGTCAAAAATTATGAGACTTAAAATATTTTTTTTTCAAACTTTAAGAAAGATTAGTGTAATTACTACCCTAATAGCATGTTTGTTTTGAGGGATAAGACTGTGGGATTGGACTATTAGTCCTGCCGGACTAATAGTCCATTGTTTGTTTGCAAAATTTTGCCCCGGACTATCAGTCCCATAAATATGGGACTATTCTATCCCATGGGGGGTGTGGGATAGAAACCATGGGATTGGTATCCCATGAGATTATTTGGTGAAATGTAGTCCATTGTTTGTTTGAAAAATTTTGCTCTGGACTAATAGTCCCCCCGGATTATTAGTCCTACAAATATGGGACTATCCTATCCCATCAAGGTGGGTGGGATTATTTTCATAGAATTGGTATCCCATGGGATTAGGCTTTGAAATGTCCATTTTGCCCACATGCTATTACTTAGCAAATAATTAGAAAAGGTTAAAATAGTCTTTTGAACATTTATAAATTATTTTTTTGGTGTTGTTAATTTAAAATTATATATTAAATAAAAAATTTAAATTACAAATTATAAATTATAAATTAAATTTATTTAAAAATAATAAATTATAAATTATGACCTTATAAATTAAATTTTTTTAGTGTTGTTGAAAATTTAATTTATATTAAATAAATTTTTTTTTATTGTCATTAATTTAAAATTATATATTAAATAAAAAATATAAATTATAAATTTAATTTAATTGAAAATAATAAATTAAATTTTTTTAGTGTTGTTGAAAATTTAATTTATATTAAATAAATTTTTTTTTATTGTCATTAATTTAAAATTATATATTAAATAAAAAATATAAATTATAAATTTAATTTAATTGAAAATAATAAATTAAATTTTTTTAGTGTTGTTAAATTATAAATTATAGATTACAAATTTAAAATTATAAATTAAATAAAAATTATAAATTACAAGGATAAAATTGTCTTCTGAACATTTATCCTTATCCAGTCCGTCTAACCAAACATTGGATTCATTAAAAATAGTCTAATCCAGACATTTAATCCCATGACTAAACAAACATAGGTTACAAATCCAGTCCAACCAAATAGTCCGGGGACAATGTATCCCGGGACTAACAGTCCGATGGATTACAATCCCTCCTTATCCAGTCCGTCCAAACAAACGCACCCTAAGGGGATTATTTTTTACATTTAAAAATCAACACATAATTTTATGTAATTGTAAGGTATATTGTTTATATGGTTAACAACTAAACTAAAAATATTCAAATATTTTTTTACATAAGTTCTGTTTTCGTAACCCCGAGTATTTTTTTATTTTCTTACCACACAAAATAAACTTGGAAAAAATACCAATAAGTTCTATTATGCTCTCAAGATTACTATTGAGTCCTATTAAATTTTAATATAGACAACCAAATCATATTTGTCATAAAATGTTTCAAAAAGTTCATTCCTCCATAATGATATTTTTTATCTCAATTTTGCCATTCTCATTTAATATGAACAATACTTTTATAAACAATTTTAACATAATTAAAATAAAAAAATTTAATTGTAAAAATTATTATTATTGTTATTATTATTATTATTATATTAAAAAATCATAAATAACAATTGAATCAAAACAACTATAATATGAAATGCATCATTTTTTGTTATTTCAAATTATGATTATTTATTTATTTATTTATTTATTTATTTTCAGTGTAAACAATCTGAAAGGGTATTCTATAAAAATTCCAAAGACCTGTGAAATAATACTATGACAAATTTATATATTTTTCAATACATGAAATAGTTGATGAATCTTTTATATATTTATGCTTTTGTTTATGAAAATTTATTTAATTTCAAACAATTAAAAATAGTTTTATTGTAAAATTTTAAATAAAATAATTTTTTTATGAAAATTTTCATTCATATTTTAATGAGAAAAATAAAAATAAAGTAGAATATACTCTTATGAATAATTGAAATTTATACTAAAATTTAATATAACTCAATAGTAATTTTTCAAAACATAGTAGAACTTACTAGTAATATTTATATTGTGATTTATGATTTTTTTTTAATAGAACATAATACTTTATACAATTAAAAAATATAATTTTACTTTGAATAAAAATATTTATAAAATCATTGTTCATATTAAATGAGATGTAAAATTGAGATAAGATATATCATTATAGAGGATTCAATCTTTTGAAAATATTTTATGACAAATAAGATTTAATTGTTCATATTGAAACTTGATAAGATTCCATAATAATATTAAAAGAAAAAAAGAACTTATTAGTAATTTTTTCGATAAACTTTATTCTCTTATATTTTAATCCACATACGATTTATCCGATGATATATACGTGTAAATACTTAAATCATTTTGTGTCAGGGCACATTTTTCACCAACGGTGCTAGGGACCCCAGTGAAAATTTTCATTCATATTTTAATGAGAAAAATAAAAATAAAGTAGAATATACTCTTATGAATAATTGAAATTTATACTAAAATTTAATATAACTCAATAGTAATTTTTCAAAACATAGTAGAACTTACTAGTAATATTTATATTGTGATTTATGATTTTTTTTAATAGAACATAATACTTTATACAATTAAAAAATATAATTTTACTTTGAATAAAAATATTTATGAAATCATTGTTCATATTAAATGAGATGTAAAATTGAGATAAGATATATCATTATAGAGGATTGAATCTTTTAAAAATATTTTATGACAAATAAGATTTAATTGTTCATATTGAAACTTGATAAGATTCCATAATAATATTAAAAGAAAAATAAAACTTATTAGTAATTTTTTCGATAAACTTTATTCTCTTATATTTTAATCCACATACGATTTATCCGATGATATATACGTGTGAATACTTAAATCGTTTTGTGTCAAGGCACATTTTTCACACTAATTGAATTTTGGGCGATATAATTTAATTTACAAATTATAAGAATTATATGTTAATTATGATATAAGAATGGTAGAAATTCATGATTTATAACTTATGACTCACCCATAATAACATGGTGCATGATTAATTTACTATAAATCAAAAAGTGACACAAAACTTACAATGTAATTATAAAGGGTAAATTCTATTATGCTCCTTTTATATTTAGTCACTTTTTCACTTTGACACTTAAAATTTATTTTCTCACTTTGGCCTTTTATCTTTAAATTTTTTTCAGTATACTTTTAAAGTTAATATCAGTTAAAAATTAGACCAAAAAATGACACATTGACAGTCACGTGACATAATTTTTTTTTATTATATATTACTCACACTCTGACATGAACTTAAACTCGAATATAATGTATATTTTTTTTGTTATATGATTGTTATTATGGTATTTTCTATTTAATTTTGAACATAATTTAACTTTAGGAGGAAATTGGAAAAAAAAACTTGAAATATGAAGGGCTAAAGTGATAAAAAATAAACTTTACGAGCCTAAGTAGGAAAGTGGCCAAACATAAGGGGGAAAGTGTAATTTACCCAATTATAAATAAAATTAAGACAAACTTAAATATATGTATTTTTGTAGGATCAATTATACATTTTACTACTATAATGTAACTTAAATTTCAAATGGTCCATATTTGATCATTCCTTTCAAATTTCAGTTAATTATTATTTAATATACACTTGTAGGAAATTGACAAGTATCTCAAAATTATTACTTTTAACCCCAATTTCGAACAGAAAGAGCAAATTGAAATTATAAAGTAAAAATCAAATTATTTAATTTAAAATAATAGAAATTTTTAAAAAAATTAATTCAAATTATAAGAGTTAAAATTGTTTATCCAACTTTTTACTTTGGAAATTAATAAATCCCACATAGATTAAAAAGTGTAAATTAGAAATATAACCTTGAAATTTACTTAAAAATACGAATGTCCTTTACCGTTTAGAAAATTATAGATGCCCTCTTGTCAAATTTTTTTTATTTATAATTAATTAAAAAATGAAATTTGTAATTACTTTTCTATACAATGATAAAATTATTTAAATTATTAATTAAAATAAATATTTAATATTATTAAAAACTGTTACCTGATTTTATGATTTATTAAAGGAAAGGAGACATTTACTATATGAAATTAAAATTTTTAAGAGTTTGAACGTAATTTTTAAAATTACAAACACCCTTGAGATTTGGTGAAAATACAAATTTCCCCCTGAGGTTTGAGAAATTACAAATTGCCTCCTGAGAGTCAAATTTTCATAACAAATTAGAAAAAATTAGGGGGAATCTGTATGAAATAAAAACCTCAGGGAGGCAATTTTGTTTATGAAAATATAACCTCAGGGGGTGGGATGTAATTTCTCAAACGTCAGGGGGGAATCTGTATTTTTACAAAATCTCGAGGGAGGTGTTTGTAATTTGCCTATTTTAAAATTACAAATGACAAATCGTAGCTTGGAATAGACTACAGAGGTGTAATCGTAATTAACCATTAAAAATGATAGGGAAGAGAGGGTTAAGCAGTGCTGGCCATGTATAAATTGAACCACCCAAAGGGTATCTAAAAATAAGCAGTTTGGTAACCATGATCAAATCCTTTAAAATCTCCGTAGTCCTCCTCTTTCTCTCCATCCTCTGCTTGCTTAGCCTCAGAACCAAATCAACCCCAACTTACCTTTTCATTCAGTGCCTAAACACAACAACTTACACTCCAAACAGCACATACCAAACCAACCTCAACACCCTCTTCTCTTCCCTCTCCTCCAATTCCACCTCCATCAATGGCTTCTCCAACTCCACCGCCGGCCTTAACCCCCCCGAAATAGCCTACGGCCTCTTCCTCTGCCGCGGTGATGTTTCCACCGACGTCTGTCAAGACTGCGTAACCACTGCTACTAAAGAAGTGGTCCAACGTTGTCCCAAGTCGAAGGTTGTCACAATTTGGTACGATGAGTGCATGTTACGATACTCAAACAAGAGTATCTTCACTATTCCCGATCAGTCATATAGAGAAATTTTGAGGAATACACAGAACGTAACAAACATAACCAGTTTCAGAGGAGTGTTGGGAGGTGTAATGGATGCTATAGCCACAGGGGCTTCGAATGGTGGATCGGCTAAGAAGTTCGCGACAAGTCAAGCTAATTTCTCATCTCTTCAAACCTTGTATGGATTAGCTCAGTGCACACCGGACTTGAATGGTATGGATTGCAATAAATGTCTTCGAGATGGTATCTCGAATTTTCCGAGTTGCTGTGATGGAAATCTGGGAGCCAGAGTTTTGTTTCCGAGTTGTAATGTTAGGTATGAGTTTTACCCTTTTTACAACATCACCGCCACTGCACTGCCGCCTTCAGCAGTCCTTCCTCCACCTTCAGGTCCTTCAACCAGTAGAGGTAAACTCCCAAAAAAAAAAAAAAAAACTCCATTATTAAACAAAACCAAACCAAGCTTTGTTTTTTCATTTGTTGGATCGACTAGATCACTTCTTTTTTGTGATTGTGCTAGATTCAGATCCCAAAATTAAAAATAGTTAGGATTAATTTCATTTTTACTCCCTCGCCAAATCTATTTGCATCACTCTTTCTACTTGTATAATGATTCGTAGCTGGAAATTAAGAGCTCGAATGGCCCGGAAAAAAGAGCAAAGTGTTTTCTCTCTCCTCAAAACCGTCTGTTTGTACTCACTTCTCCTCACAGACTCCAAAATACTCTCATTAGACTCCAAAATATACTCTGTCTACTCACTCCAAAAGCAAAACCAAACGGTAAACTCGAATGAGGCAAAAATACTCTCCTTAAACTCACTTTCTCCTCACTTTCTTCCTCTTTCTCCTTCCTCTGTTTTTTTCCTTCTTTCTTCTTCTTCTTTCTAAACTATTGAACGAGGCAAAACAAAAAAATAATACAGAGAGAGAGAGATGGGAATTTTACACCAAACCCAAAACCAAAACCAAACCCACAACCACAAATCAAAATCGACATTGAAACTCAAATCAGACAAAATCAAACAAAAATTCGAACAAAATCAAACAAAAATACGAACTTCCGTGAAATAATTGATGCATGTACATACATATATATATATATATATATAAATGTTGAAGACAGGTTTATACCTTTTTGGTTGATGATGATTCTCTCTCTCTCTGCTGTGTTGATGATGATTTGTTAATTTTTGGTTTGTGATGATGATTCTCTCTCTGCTCCTCTCCTCTTCCCTCCTTCTTCTTCTTCTTCTTTGTTTTTCTTCTACAGTTTATGGAAACGAAAAAAACAAAAAAAAAAAAAAAGAAACGACCTCGTTTTGATATTTTTTGGTATTTTCGTACCATTCGGGCCGCTAATCTTTCGAGTTACATTGCGGGACTCTTTGTACTTTTAAAAGAGTTTCAATTTGGTCAGTAAATATAGAGGAAATGCCCTTTTATGTCCTAAATTATCCCTCAAAAATTAATTGTACTCTTATTTTTTTTAATAATATTAATTTTATACATAAATTATTTGATTTTAAATTAATTTTACCTGTCATTAGTTTCCATTTGAATAATGCTTGGGACCTCCTTTTGGGGGTCACTCCCTCACCCCCTTTGCCACGTGGCGGGTGGTGATTGGAGGAGCATGAAAAAAAGAAAAAGAAAAAGAAAATATAACCAATGAGAGAGAGAGGGGGTCAAAGGGGGTGAGAGGAAAAGGGGGGATGAATCATTGTTGGTTTCCATTTATAAACTATTTGACACTAAAATTTCATCTGAAATTTTATTTTACTCCAAAACTATCTCTAAAATATCAATTAGATCCGCAAATTTTATTTTATTTTGAAGTTTAATTAATATTTTGCAATAGTTTGGAGGGTAAAATAAAATTTCAAATGAAATTTAGGTGTCACATCATCAACTTCTGTTTGATCATAGACGACAATACGATGAGTGCATGTTACGATACTCAAACAAGAGTATCTTCACTATTCCCGATCAGTCATATAGAGAAATTTTGAGGAATACACAGAACGTAACAAACATAACCAGTTTCAGAGGAGTGTTGGGAGGTGTAATGGATGCTATAGCCACACGGGCTTCGAATGGGGGATCGGCTAAGAAGTTCGCGACAAGTGAAGCTAATTTCTCATCTCTTCAAACCTTGTATGGATTAGCTCAGTGCACACCGGACTTGAATGGTATGGATTGCAATAAATGTCTTCGAGATGGTATCTCGAATTTTCCGAGTTGCTGTGATGGAAATCTGGGAGCCAGAGTTTTGTTTCCGAGTTGTAATGTTAGGTATGAGTTTTACCCTTTTTACAACATCACCGCCACTGCACTGCCGCCTTCAGCAGTCCTTCCTCCACCTTCAGGTCCTTCAACCAGTAGAGGTAAACTCCCAAAAAAAAAAAAAAAAACTCCATTATTAAACAAAACCAAACCAAGCTTTGTTTTTCGATTGTGATGGATCGACTAGATCACTTCTTTTTTGTGATTGTGCTAGATTCAGATCCCAAAAAAAAAAATAGTTACGATTAATTTCGTTTTACTCCCTCCCCAAATCTATTTGTATCATTTTTGTACTTTTAAAAGAGTTTCAATTTGGTCCGTAAATATAGAGGAAATATCATTTTATGTCTTAAAGTATCACTTAAAAATTAATTGAACTCTTATTTTTTCAATAATATTAATTTTATATATAAATTATTTGATTTTAGACATTAGTTTCCATTTTTAAACTATTTGACACTAAATTTTATTTTACTTCCAAACTATTTCTAAAATATCAATTAGATTCTCAAATTTTATTTTATTTCGGAGTTTAATTAATATTTTACAATAGTTTAGAGGGTAAAATAAAATTTCAAATGAAATTTAGGTGTCACATCAACTTCTGTTTGATCATATACGACAATTAATGGTGGGGTAAATTTTATGTAAAATTGAATAATTTATGCATAAAATTGATATTATTAAACGAATATTGGTTAAATTGATTATTTAGTGATAGTTTAAAAGCAAAAATAATATTTTCTCTTAAATATAGGTTGAAGTCAAGAATAAATGTAAAATTTTTACTTAAAAACTCATACTTTTAATATATTATTTTTGTATCGTTTTGATTTTTAAAATTACACATTTACCTTGATTATAAATAAATAAATAAAAGAGAAGGACAAACCTGCTCACATATGAGATTTTAATTTGGAATCAATCATGATTTTCAATTGCTAAAGCAAATTTTCAATGACACGTTTTTTTTTTTTTTCGGGTGCAGGAAAGGGGGGAATCTCAACGCAAGGACTTGTTGCCATCCTTGTTCCCATTGGCGTCTCTGTTTTGCTTTTCATTGTAGGTTTTTGTTTCATAACTAGAAAATCAAAGAAGAAATATGATGCCATTGAAGAAGATACAAGTAAGACAATTTTTATTTATTTATTTATTTATTTTTTTTGGTGTGTCTCATCTTGTTTTAACCATTATTTGTTGAGTGAGAGATCAAAAAATTCATTATAATAGTTTTTTCATTTGTCCAGTTGGAAGTGATATCCCCACAGATGAGTCATTGCAATATAATTTGGGTACAGTTCAAGCTGCCACAAACAACTTCTCTGCTGAAAATAAAATTGGTGAAGGTGGATTTGGTCTTGTCTACGAGGTAAGATTGCACTTGATTTCAATAATGGAATTAAATATTCTTGCATTTATAGTTTCCGAAATTTAGGTCCAATATTTCAATGAATGTCGTATATTATTAGGGAACACTTTCCAATGGACAAGTGGTAGCTGTGAAGAGGCTATCTCGAACCTCAGGGCAAGGAGCAGAAGAATTCAAAAACGAGGTTGTATTGGTAGCCAAGCTTCAGCACAGAAATCTAGTGAGACTACTGGGATACTGCTTGGAAGGAGAAGAAAAGATACTCATATATGAATTTGTGCTTAACAAAAGCCTTGACTACTTTCTATTTGGTTTGTTAAATTTAAATAACTCTAGTTCTTAATAGTGCTTCTTGTTTAGTTTCCATGAATGATTGCTACGAGTGTACATGATTTGAATTTGAAGAGATGAAACAATTTTAATGCATCACCGTGCTTGTGTTTCCATTTCAAATCAAATTGTGGTAAGACATTTCTTGCCCCAACTCAAATTTCTCATTGTAAACTACAATATATTTTCTAATCAATGTGCAGATTCACAAGAACAAGAGAAGTTGGATTGGCTGAAACGTTACAAGATTATAGAAGGAATAGCTCGAGGAATACTTTATCTTCATGAAGATTCCCGACTTAGAATTATACACCGTGATCTCAAAGCTAGCAATGTTCTATTAGATGGAGATATGAATGCTAAAATTTCAGATTTTGGCATGGCTAGGATATTCGGTGTGGATCAAACTCAAGGAAATACAAGTCGAGTTGTTGGAACATAGTAAGTGTGCCTCAAATTCCCATGTATTTGTTTTTCCATAATTTAAATTAATGAAAACATAATTTATGCAATCTCAAGCAAATCATCATTCTAATTCTTCAAAAATTCCCCTTTGGACGAACAAATTCTGAGATGCATATCATGCCTAGCTACCTGCATGGTGACAGTAATCTTAATGGACTGCACTTTTTTAGTTGAATTTTGATGCATTATGTACTCAATGGTTTCATATAAAATGAAGTTTCGGACACAGTTTCTTGTTATTTTCTAATTCTATTGTTAAATTGATGGTATTGGTATGCAGTGGTTATATGTCTCCAGAGTATGCAATGCATGGACAATTCTCTGTGAAGTCCGATGTGTTTAGCTTCGGTGTCCTAGTTTTGGAGATCATTAGTGGCAAAAAGAACAATACCTTTTACGAATCAGGAAGTGCTGAGGACCTTCTTAGCTATGTGAGTAGTAAACCATCCATTCTAATTATTATTTTCTTCTGAGTGACAATTTCATCACATCCACAAGTCATATATGATGAAATGTTGTAGGCTTGGAAACTGTGGACAAAGGAAAGACCCTTGGACTTGATGGATTCAACTTTGGAAGGATCTTACTCAAGAAGTGAAGTCATTAGATGCATCCATATTGGCTTGTTGTGTGTCCAAGAAGATCCGGAGGACAGACCTTCCATGGCAACAGTAATTCTGATGTTAAGTAGTTACTCAATTACTCTATCAGTTCCCCAACAACCTGCATTCTTTGCTCGTAGCAAAACAGAAAGTATGCCAAAATCCTTAGATTCAGATCAATCTGCAAGCAAGTCAATATCATGGTCTGTGAATGAAGCATCGATTACTGAACTAGACCCAAGATAATGTGAGAAGTCAAGATTGGAGGATAGCTCTATGGTGTGTGAGATGAACCCAAATGACAATCTGCACTATCCTTAAAGGTGGTGGTCCCTAATGGTGCAAGTCCTGAGTAATAGATCCTGAACTTGACTTGGTCAACAAAGTTCATATTAGTACTTCAAAGAAAATAATTGGATCGCTCCTGTTTTCATCAAAATAATAGTTCATTGTTCATTTTCTTTTCTTGTGAGGCTTTGTTGTTTGTTGTGGAGGTTGATTGGAATGCTACTAGTATCGCAAAATTGGGAATCATAAGATTATGCTATTTTGGCCGCAGCTACTTTTTTAGCCCATATTTGAGATTGATTTTTGTCTTTGAATCTGTTTTTGTTTTTCATTTTTGATTTTTGTTTTTTTTTTTTTTATGCCGAATTTCTAATTAGGTGATGTACAAAAAGAAATTATTTCTTCTCTTTGTATCCCGTTTCGATAATCCGAACTGTTTAATGTGTAAAATTCGTTGGGTACTATATGCCTGTAAAAAAATTATGTTGATCGGATATCGATAGCTATTTCATCAGATTAGATTTCTATCACCTGTTTATTTTTTCACTGTCTATTTTTTTTTAATACAAAAATGATTTGATCACGTAATTATCGATATCCGATCAACGTGATTTTTTACAGATATATAGGACTTGATGAGTTCTACATATTGAACGGTTTAGATTATTGAAATAGGATCCGTGGTGAACCTCTCACGGATCCAACAATACCCTCCAGTCCAAGAGGGAAGCCAGACCCTGCCTCTTAATATCTACAACATATCTGCGAGGATTCCCATTACACTTATGACGGCCGGAAATTGAGGCTCCTTTCATGTTTTGAATGCTAAAAATTATGTTTAACCTTAACAATAGACTATAAAGACTTGAACTTAAATTTTGAGTGAGAAATTTAAAACTCTAACCACTAAATCAATCCCAGATGATATCATAGATAATAATTCACAGAACATGTGGATAACACAACTTGCTAAATTTGATCGTTAATGTCTCATTTACTCCAGTGCCCTTCAGAAGGCGCCATATTGTTTATTTTCAACCAACCACATTTCCTCTTAATAACTGCTACAAACCAAGAAATCTATGTTGCTTCCTTGACTCGTCTCAATCTTAATAATAAGTCAGTCGGAGCTTTTTGCAACAACTTCCATCTTAACTACTCATTTTCTGGATGAAAAGTTCTATTTTTTTCCACGAAAAATTAATAAATAGACCTCAAATAATATATAGTATTATTTACCTTATACTTCTGATACTAGAAAAGAAAAATTAGAATATATTAGGTGAGTTTCCACTATCTCTTGTCTCCCAACTTTTTAATAAAGTTAGGTTACTATTGTTCTCGCTACGTAACACCTAATGCACTGTGGGTGTTTAGATTGGATTTTTTTATCATTTATTTATTTATTTATTTATTTTTAGTAGAAAGTTTTTAAAATTCTTTAAAAAAATTTACATTTTTAGATTTTACTCAATTAGAGGGACTGAAAAATTAAAAAAAAAAAAAATTAAAACAAACTCAAGAAAGGACCAAAAAAAAAGTAAATAGTAGTTCAGGTTTCTTTTTGGGTTTTAAATTTTTTTTTTTAAAAATTCTATAGATGCATTTATACAAGACCAACTTGAAAAGTTAAAAAAAGAAAAAGAAAAGAAAACAACATAATTTAAAACAAAAAATACTAATGGCAAAATACCAAACACTCCACAAGATGATTGAGGACTATTTAATAATTACTCTTTCTTCACACACCTAAAAAGTTATCTCGTCAAATGTGAAAACGAAAGGCTTTGGTTAAAATAGTGGTAATCCATTTAGGGATTTTGTTTGCTAAATCTGTTTTATTTTTCTATGTCAAAATATTCATAACGATTAAAGAATGTCATGAGATTTACGCATTTCAAAATTCTCATATAATTAAAAAATTGTGAATGTTTTACAATAGTAAAAGGAAGAAAAGAGATCCTTAACACATTTAAAAAGTAGGATCATCTTATTTTAATTAATAAGAGATGAGTGTTTAGCTTACTACGAACAAAATGGCCTTTCCTCACTATATCTGAAGTAATTATTTTGTCTTTTCAAAATTTCACGTCAATGGTGTATCAAACTAAAATTTCACGTTAACGGTATATTTAACCAATAACAGAGTGCTTAATAATTATTTGAAACAAAAATTTAAAAAATAATGAATAAATGACATGATACTATTTAATAGGCGCACTACCAAATAATCTTTCTAACTAATGGAATAATTTATGCTTGGGAGTTCTAATTGAACATTCCTAATTAATCTCTAATGATATGGAATGGATCTCATTCCTTACTTCTCATCATTCCTGTCTCTATCTCTCTCTATCCTTTCTCTCTTCCACCTAGAGATCAAAATCGGGGTGATATATTAGGGAGTGTGGGGGCGTAATTATTGGACGACAGCACGTGGCCGAGGTGTCATTGGAGTGCTAGTCGGGGTGCCATGTGTCTTGGTCATGATGCCGAGGTGATCTCGGCTAGGCCGAGGTTATCTGTGAGAGTACCGGAATTCAGGATAAGCGGATAAGGGACAAGAGTCCTAGAATGAGAGAAGACTTCATTTTGGATAAAGATAAGACTCTTAGAGAGTTTATCCCAATCTTACTGGGAATCCAAGATTAGCAGTAATCCTAAGTCCATAGAAATTAGGCTTCCATTAGGATTGGGTTTGTGTTGGCTATAAAAGGGAGGCACCCCCATGAGTCTAAGGTACGCTTTTTATATTTTGAATAGTGAGTTAAGCACTTTTGTTATTTTTGAGAGATAACTGACTTGATCGTCGGAGTGCCCCCAGGTGGACGAACCACCACTAGAATCTCTTCTTTCTGTTGTAGGTCGTTCGGGCTTAATCTATTCTGTCGGTGTTCTCCAGTTGAGTACTTAGTTGGCAGTGTGGTCGGAAATTAACACACACAATTTGGCGTCATCTGTGGGAAAGAAAGAAGAATAGATGGCCAATAATGGACAAAAAGAGAAGGTTGGGAACGATATCTCTACGGGGAGTGAGAAACGCATTGACCTTGATATCGAAGGAGACAACTGCAATAAAGAAACTTGTGATAAGAATCACGGAAAAAAGAATGATGGCCAGGAGGGCGACACGTCAAAAAAATCTGACCGGAGCGGGTATTGCAACGAGGATGACCTCCAGGTGTAGAAGGATAGATGCCTGCGGAGGGACGACGAAGTAAAAGGAATGACAAACAAATTGGCGGACCTGCAAACGGTCGTCAATTTCATAATGTAGAGCAACGTCAGGTAGCCACCGTTCCCGCTACAAGACACGCTAAATCCAGTGGCCAAACAAGATGCCCAAAAAGGGGGGCAGAAAATGATTCTTGCAGTCCCCCAGCATGACAGGCTAAGGGACATTCTCACCGGCCTTCAAAGAAGGTCGGACATGGAGAATCAACGAGAAGAGAATCCCAGAAGACGCGCCGAACCAGAGAAGCCAATACCAAAGAACATCGGGATGTTCAAGGGGAAGAACTCTTCTTGGACACGACCAATAGAGGGAAGCCCAAAAGGACTTACAATGACATTGGGAGCAGTGCACCAAAAGGCTGAAATCTGGAGATACCCGAGCTCCGGGACGGACAAAGGAAGATCTGAGGGATTACCTCCAAAGGAAGCGGAAAGATGCCGAGGTTAATTCTCCAGTTAAGCCAAGAACACCGTTCTCGGTCGAATTGGACAAGTTCGAGGCACCAAAGAGGTTCAGCATGTTGAGATTCTAGATATACGACGGTAAGTCGGACCCTAACTTTCACATCGGCTTGTACTTGAACTCGTTGGCATTGTATACTGGGAATGAGTCGTTGCTCTACAAGGTGTTCCCTTCGTCCTTTGGGGAGATTGCATTAGACTAGTTTCAAACCTGGGAGGGCCTGGCCGAGATGTTCATGGCCAGATTTATAACGAAAAAATTACAGCCGTTGAGGGTAGACTCCCTGATGGCTCTAAGAATCAATGAGGATAAAGGCCTTAGAGCCTACACTAAAAGGTATTATGAGGTGTTTAACCGAATACCCAAGTACAACCAAGAGGTGGCAGTCGTATCTTTCAAAAACGGCCTAAAAGATGATTGTCCACTACGAAAGTCATTGGCAAAGACATTGCCAAAAAGCATGGAGGAGCTCATGGCCAGAATTGATAAATATGCTAGAGCCGAGGAAGACAAGCCAGGGACAAAAGCGACAAAGCAAGAGAAAGGAAACGGCTTGCCGAAGCGAGGCCGAGGTAACAACGGATCTAACAAGCAAGAGATAGGACTGAGGGCTGCACAGGCAATCACAACTGTATTCTGAATCCTAGTTCACAAAGTCCTAGATAAAATCTGAAATCAGCCCTATTTCAGAGCACCAGCAAAGGTTCCGGGAGAGTTTATGGGAAGAAGCCTTGGTAAGCATGGTGCTTACCACAATGAAGATGGGCATCTGACTCAGGGTTGCAGAGCCCTAAAGGCACACCTAGAAGACCTGGTAAGGAAAGGCCATTTAAGGGACCTTGTAGATGAGGCCAGGACAAGGGAAGAGTAGGCAAGACTGCCTTAGGTACTAGCAGCTCCACCTCCCCCAGCCCAGTAACCGCAGGTAGGCAGACCTCAGGTAATTAATGTAATTCACTCGAAGGTCAACTAAAACGAAGTACGGGGGGAGACCCAGAAGGTAAAGCACTTGTAACATGTGTACCGGGTTCGGTAGAAAAGACCTCGGGCTGAGGAGTGCTAGGGACCAGTAGTGTCCTTTACTGAAACTGACCTTGAGATGGTGCAACATCCACACAACGGAGCCTTGGTAGTATCCCTCCAGATTGGGAAGTGTCAAGTGAAGCGAATCTTAATTGACCAGGGCAGCTCTTGTAACATCATGTATGTCAGGTGTTACAAGGAGCTTGGCCTTCATCAGGAGGACCTAGAGCAGTCCAATTTCCCAATGGTTGGGTTCAATGGAACACCAACATGGCCCTTGGGGGTAGCAAGTTTGGAGGTGCAAGCTGGCACCAAAAAGGTGAAAACAGAGTTCACCATAATCGACACCCCCTCCCCTTGCAATGTTATTCTGGGGAGGCCATAGCTGCATGTAATGGGGGCTGTTCCTTCAACATTACACCAGCTGTTGTGATTCCCAACAGAACATGGAATTGAAGAAGTCCGAGGGGATCAGGTGCAAGAAAAAAATTACTCCATGGTAGCAATGAAAACCACTTGCAACATACGAGAACCAGAAATAGCAGAGGTTGAGGAAGAGGACATGGAAGTCCTGGAGGACGCACTACAAGAAAA